TCTTATTTAGACAGACCTGCGGAGATAATAACATGCACAAAAACAAGACAGAGCAAAACCAAGCAATATACAACAAAACAACAATAAACCAATGACCAAAAAAACAAAACACAACAAGAAAGTTTGTAGTTAGTTCAAGGACTGTTTGTTGGCCTTTAGGAGAGTTTTCTAGTCCATTCTGTTGGGGCACCAAGCCTTGGCCCTCAAGTCCATCTTCGGCATTCCATGGGGACCTCGCTGCTCCGTTCCTTTGCTGTTCTGTTGCACCCCATTAGTGTTTTGCCTCAGTTTGGCGGGATCAGATCAGGTGCAATTCCCACACTGTGTCTCCAGTGTTGCCCTTGTAGGGCTATGGGCCAGTGAGGGAGCTCCTTAAGATTTATAATACTGTAAATCTTTATAGGAGCAGACAGCCTCATCTCTGCCCCTTGAAGTGGCTAATGAATGTGAACTGAGAAACGATCCAGTATTTAACTGACTGCTGTGCCACCAGGACTTAGACTGAAGAAAGAGACCAGAATTCAAAATTATATTGAAATTGGGAATTTACCATTCTCCTCCCCTCAGGTATCACTTGGCCTAGACTGAACATCAACCCCAAATCTGGAAGCATGCACCAGGTAAGGCCAGAAAAAGTAAGCGCAACCCTCCCTTTCATTCAAGGAATAGGAAAGGAACCTGAATGGATTTGAGAGACTGGTGGAAATCCCACTTGTTGCTTTTAATTTTGTTGTTTCCTTTGCTCCCTTCTCTTCCATCCCACTAGGCCCAGACATTAGTAATACCGCAGTGTTAGTAGCTGCCAGAAGGCCTGTAAACCTCAACAGGAAGAGAGCCCTGTTCTCTGATTATATAGGAATTGAGGCCCACAGAGTATGAGGCAAATTCAGGATGCTTTTGTGTGTGTGTGGTGGTGGTGGTGGTGGTGGTGGTGGTGCAGGAGGGGAATATCAGACTTTCTGGCCAAAAGATGTACAGCTGTCACGCAATCAACTCGATATAAAGGGGTGTGGATTCAATAGAGACCCAAGGTTCATCTGCAAAGCAATTCGACAGTCCCTCTCAGAAGGACCACGTGGAATGGACAATAAATCCAGGGTGTGGTATCACACTGATGAACCACATAAATATCCTCTAGTTACTCAATTATTTCCTCCCCTTACTATTAAGGTGTTTGTTTTAGCTCATGAATCATGTTAGATTCACAAATGCTCATTTGTACATGTAAGATTGTTCAGTACATGAAAATTAAGATAGATAACCCTTCAGAAACAATAACAGGAGTAACGGCTCCCTGAGGGTATGGGAAGAGGTTGGGAGGGTGGGGGCGGCAATGGAGAGCTCACGGCATTGATGATTGTACAACTCCTCTCAAGGGAACTGAACATAAGAATTCAGAACTGTATGTAAACAAATATATTGGATTGGGTAAGATAACAATAAATCTATTATTTTAAAAGCTGTACAGTTGTGTTTGAACTCCTGGGCTCACCTCTGAGCTGTGCATGTATGGATCTGACACTAAACATCATACTATATAGGTTTTGAGAGCAGAGCTGCTGAGTATACCACCACTGTGGACCCACAGTGAACATTAGGTTGTGTAAGTGGTCTCATTCAAGAAGGTACCTCAGAAGAAAGGCCTAGCAATATACTTCTGAAAAACCAGCATGGAGAACCCCCCTGGAGCACACTTCCACTATGATGCACAAAGAAGTTCCCCTTCACTGAAATCAATTTGACGGCAACCTTTACTGTTATCTGAAGATTTCAGTAATTCATGTTGTTGCCTAGTTTTAAAGTTGTCAAACCTAGTTCAAAAAACCAGTTAGAAGTCTATCCTTCTAAATGAAATGGGAAAAGAGTAAGAAGATCCTAAAATGAGGTAGAAATTATAAACAAATGCCTCTTTTTCTATATATATATAAAACAAACATTTTATGGGAAACAAAATTTACAATAGGGTGGTTATACTCCAACAAATATCAGGATACTATCAACAACTGACTTTTAGTTATATTTCAAAAATGATATCCTGACATAGGATAAATCAGTAAGTATGGCTACAAAAACTTTATTAAGCAAAATTATCAAAATGTGGAGATAGTGTTTCTTCACATAGCCTCCATCTAGGTCTATACACTTCTGAGGGTGGTGTTTCCATCTCTCTAATCCTTCTCTGGATAACTGTTATTGATTTATACCATGTCAAAAAAGCTGTTTTAGCATCTGGAGGGACTCAAATTGTGTTCCTTTTACAGTTTTTTTTTTTAGTTTGGGGAACAAAAAGATGACAGAAGGGGCAAGATCAGGGCTGTTAGGTGGATGGGGGAACGCTTCTCAACAAAATTCTTATAGAACAACCTTTGCTACCCTCCAAATATGAGTAGGTGTATTGTTGTGATAGGGCAAAAAAGGTAACTTGTCTGGCTATTTTCTCACCAAGGCAGTTTTCCATTTTCTTAAAATTTCCTAAGTCCCCATGACCATCCCGTCTTTTGAGAAAATCTATCAAGATTACCATTTGGATATCTTCAAATACGGTTTTCTATAACATTGTGAGAGGACTTATCTCTACCTTGAATTTAACTGGCCTATAAGATCTCCTTGGAAGTCACTGTTTTCAATGTATTTCCTTTTTGAAGACACCCTAACAAAAAACTAAGTACATTACTGCGAGAACCTATCTGTATGTTTAAACATGTTCTGTTTTGAATAGTTTCATCCATGTTGTCATATAACATATGGTAATACTCCAAAATTACACAACTTTAATACCAGTTTAAAAACAACTGGTGAGATCAGCTTTTATTCTTTGGCAAAGTCTGAGAAACTATCTATGTAAGGTCATTATAATTCTGAATTTACTCAATGGCTGTTTTTGTTTTTATCTTTATTAAATTAGCTGATTAAAATTTTTAGATTGTGTCATTTAAACCCTAAGTGGGAAACTGTAATGTTTAAACTGGTCTCAGTGAAAATTCTGGGCCTTAAATTAAGTGCTAGAAAAGAATATCAACCTTTTTATTTTTAATAATAAATTTTATGGGAATTCACCTTGCCCAGAGCGGCTTTGGCGAGAGTCTACACTTGACTGTCTTCGATCCGGTGGTTCCTCGCTCCCTCCATCTGCATAAAAATAAAAAAATCATGAGTAAGGAGACTGATGTATTATCTTCCCTAGTGATAGAGTGGTCTAAAGCACTTGACTGCTAATCCAATGCTCAGAGGTTCAAACCTACCAGCAGCTCTGAGGGAGAAAGGCAGCTTCTCCTAAAGATTACAGCCTTGGAAACCCTATGGGGTAATTCTACTCTGTCCTATAGGGTCACTAAGAGTTGGAATTAACTTGACAGCAATGGATTTGGGTGCTATTTATATCTTTTAAAAGGAGCCCTGATGGTGTTGTGGGTTACATGTGGGGTTGCTAATTGCAAGGTCAGCTGTCTCAAACTACCTGCTGTTCTGCAAGACAAAGATAAGGCTTTGTACTCCTGTAAAGATTTACAGTCTTGGAAACCCACAGGGGCAGCTCTACTCTCTCCTATAAGGTTGCTATGGGTCAGAATTGACTCAGTGGCAGTGAATTTGCTTTAAGTAATATCCAAGAAGTAATGATTTTATGGTTTAATAAAGATGGAAGCAACAGTCAATAGGTCCTACAATACCTATCATGTTTTCATTTCTTACCATCTCGATCACTGAAAATATTTGAGAAGTACACCTGATATGTAATCAATTAACACGGTACTTCTAGCCATAATTCATTAAATGCTATTGTAATTCTGGAATCTAGACCTGTGGCTACAATCTCATTTTGAAGGGAGTTCTCTATTATGTTAATGAAAAAGATTAAGTGGAGTAAAGTCTTAACTTTAGTAGAAGATGTGAACATAATAACCCCTTTTGTTTCCTTGGGGGTACAAAGATAAAACCCACACCTCTCTCAAAGTCATTCCTTTGTGTATAAGAACCATTCCTGAGACACAGAGTAATCCCAGGACCATCAGAAGAGCAAATTAAGATCTCTGTCTAAAGTGGCAGAGGCTGAGACCAGCAGTACCAAAAAGTGTGGCATGGAGACTATGGAGCCAAGCTAAGACCCGAGGGCAAGACAAAGAGACAGAACAAAAGATCATGGGGCTGTTACAGCAACAAGCAGGTTTCTTGGTCCAGGGAGGCAAAGGTCACACAGCTGAGAGGCTGAGAACTGCAGAGACTTAGCTGCTGGCTTAAGGGAAGTGTTGCTGTAAACCAATGACTGTGACCTTACTGTTTCTGATCTTGACTTGTGGTGACCTATTAACTTCTCTAATAAACTCCCATAATTTTGAGTTTTGGCTATGAGTTCTGTGTGGCCACTGCAATGGATTATCAAAGCAAGCACAGAAGCAGAGTGCCATGGGAGGGAAAGCTGGTGGAGGTAAACAAAGATGGGGAGTGGAAGCATGTCTGACCTCTGCCTCATGATAATAGGGAAGCCAGAGGAGACATGACCTCCGAGAGTTTTCCTAGTATCTATATAAACCAGTATTTTAACACTTATCTTAGTGGAAATGGTTTCCAGTCCCTCTGAGACTTTAAAGAAAGTGAAAGTATTTGCCTTCCCTACCTCCCTTACATGTATGTACAAGTTTGCCTGAATGAAGAATGTTATCAACTTTATAAAGGTAATACACAAAATTCCACATTAGAAACTTTGATTTATAGCATTGTCTAAGTGAACTCTAGCTGTTCACTTGCCTAAAGTACCTCAAATAATTCCTAGAGTATCAGGGGAGAAAAGTAGAGTCACACCTGCTAATTTCAAATTTTATTACAGAACAATAATAATCAAGATAATTGTGGTATTGGCACAAGTATAGACATAATGGAATTAAGAGTCTAGAAATTTAAAGTCAACTGATATTCAGCAAAGGTGTGAAGACCATTAACTGAAAAACAGTTTTTTTGTCAATAGATGATACTGGGAAAACCAGACTGCCGTATGGCAAAGAATAAAATTGAAGCCTAACATACCATATATAACAGACTTAAATATATGGGTCAAAGACTTAAATATAAGGACTAACATTTTAGAAGAAAACATAGGGTAAATTTTTATGATCTTGGATTTGACAAAAGATTCACAGATATCTTCAGCCAAAAGCATAGGCAACAAAAGGAAAAATAGATTAACTGGACTTTATAAAGTGAAAAGACAACATAGATAACAGAAGATATTTTGTAAATCATATAAGTATGAAACTTATATTTAAAATATATAAAGAACTCTAACAACTCAACAAAAAAATACAATTAAGGAGTGGGTGTAGGACCTGAATAGGCATTTCTCTAAGGAAACTTTTCAAATGTCCAATACGCACAGGAAATGCCTGACATTGTTGGCAGAAAAATGAAAATCAAAACCACAATGAAGTACCACTTTATATTCACTGCTGGTCAGAATTAAAAAGTCAGAAAAAAAAAAGTGTTGGCAAGGATGTAAAGAAATTGGTGCCCTTACATTCTGCTAGAAAGTAATATAAACTGGTAATAGCCATTCTGGAAAATAATCTGGCAGTTCCTTAAAAACTTCCTCAGAGCTACCATTTTTGGGAACAGTCTCATCTTTCGCCTATGGAGCAGCTGTTGAGTTTGAACTCCTGAACTTTTAGTTAGCAGTCCAATGTGGGAACCTAGTTGATCAGCAGGGCTCCTCATATCATTATGGAGTAATGCTACTCCTTATTTTCATGAAAATGTAATGTGTAACCTATTTCTATAGTTTGAATTTTGGCTTTGAACCAGTTCATTCTGGTTAGACATCTTGTTGAGAATTTGCATTTCCACCCCAGATATACTGTACCAGAATCTATATTAAACAACAGGTATATATAACTATCACCTAGGGATTTTATTAAAATGTACATTCTGGTTCAATATTTCTGGGATAGAAATACAAACTCTTAGTAGGGGTTCAAAGTATAAATAGCCAACTGAAAGCCCTAGTTGGAATTTGACTTAAGTTTGAAACCAAAATTCGATTTTAAAACATTAAAATCTATTTATAAATCAAATTTCCATATACAACTATTTCTGCATAAACATTCCATGTGAGTGAATAAGGAAATATTAGCAGCCCATCACAATTTTCTACTGGTGCCTCATTTACTCTTGAGTAAAGAATGAAAGAAAGCCACATGGTATGTCATAAAAACTGCCAAAGGCAATCTCAAACAATGTATCTTTGAGAGAGAGAAAAATATGCTTGTATCTAATTTGTATTCTATTTTTACATCTTAAGAGTACTAGGAAATGTGTGGGTATAGATAGGCTTGTGTATACAAGCAGAACATCAACTCCAACAGCACAAACCAGTGTAGTGTAGTACAGAAAACAAAGTGGGCATAAGATGACCTGATTTTTAATAGTGTCTGGGGGTCTTAAAGTCTTGTATTCAAACCATCAACTGAGTCCAAAAGGAATAAAACACACCAGCCTGTGTGATCCAAAGATGAAAATAACAAAATCCAAATATGATGAAGCAGAAAGTATTGGAGCTTAAATTGTGAACACCCAATTTGTAGAAGGCTATGGAGGACAGTTGGAGCCCTAAATCCATCCACAGAGTATCTAGTTAGCTTAAGTCTCTGACAGGTCCCCTCAGGCCAAAGACAAGTGACATGAACAGCTTTGCTATCAGACAAGAGATTATTGTAAACTTCATCATGGTGGATCGAACTACAGTATAACACTTGGTCAGTTGATCTCCCTCTTGACCCAACCTGAATCTGTTCTAGGTTTAAATATTTCTTGCTTGTTCCACACAAAATTTTTTCTCTGGCTTTAAATATATATATATATATTATTGGTGATCTTTTTTTCCTTTATTTTTTTCTTTCTGTTTCATTTTCATTTTTTTAAATTGTTTCTGTTAGGTTTCCCAATTTATGAAGCACAGGAGTAGATGGATACAGTAACTGATGTAATGGTTTAAAAGGGATGAGAGGTGGGAAGAGGCAGGAGAATTGGGAAGCAAATAATAAATGTGGGAAGGGGGAGGGAATACTAGAACTGATATGATGATATATACATGGGAGTACCCCCAATACATAATGGGAAAAAGCTCTGCTAGGTGGAGCTTTTGTATATGCATTTTTCCCTGCTAGCTGAGTATTCAGCAACTCTCTCTGAGTTAGTGCCCACAGTGGCATCACCTGAGAAGGTTCTCTCTGGTCACAGTGAATTTTTTTATAAAAGCAATTTTGCTCAAAACTAATTTTTTGTGATGGTTGATTTAAGAGAACAGTGTGTGGCTGTGAAATTTTGTTTCCTGTTCAGGAAAAATACCACGAAAACTGTTGTGATGTTGAACACTGCTTACAAGGACAGCGCTATGGGAAAAATTCAAGCATACAGTGGTTTTGTTTCAAAAAAGATGAAATGTCGATTAAAGAGAAATCTCATTCTGGATACTGTCAACTTCCCAAGTGAACAAAAATGTCAACAAAATTTGTGCACTGTGCTCAATAAAATTCATTCACTTGTGCTCAAAGACCGACAACAGACCATTGAAGAGATGGCTTAAGTTATTTGGACTATCCTGGAGCTTGGTTCAGCAAATTTTAATGGAAAACTTGGGAATGACAAGGGTCACTGCAAAATTTGTGCCTCGGGTTCTGACTAATCAGGAAAAAGAGCATCAAGTGGAAATGTGCCATACTTTGGAAGAACAGCTCCTAAGAGATCCAGACTTTTTTGTCAAGGTCATTACTGGTGAGGAGACAAGGTGCTGTTCTTATGACCTGAAAGCAAACATCAATCAGGTCAGTGAAAGACAACATCATCACCTCACCCCAAAATAGCTCGTCAAGTGAAATCAATATTCAAGATGATGCTCATTTGTTTTTTTGATGTGAGGAGGGCTGTGCATTTGGAGTTCGTTCCACCAGGTTATACTGTTAATCAAGCTTTCTAGAGGTTCTGAAAAGATTGTGTAACACTGTGCAACAAAAAGGGCTGGATTTGTGGCAGGTGGAGGACTAGTTTTACCATGACAATGCACCTCCTCACACAGCTAAAATGCACCAGGTTTTGGCAAAAACCAGCATGTCTCTCTTGCCCACGCATCTGACTTGCGTGACCTT